TTTTTTTTTGGGTAGGGTTTTAGGTTAATGGGTATGGGCCTAGGAATTATAGGCTTGGCAATTGTGGGCTAGGCCCAAAATTAGGCCTAAAGATGGGTTGCTCGAGCCCAAGCTCTATTCTTTCGCTGCAAACGAGATTAAAAATACGGGCCCATTTGTTAATTATTCCTACTTATTCAAATAATTATTAAAATAAAACTAACCATTAAAAAAAATCTAAATTTTGGTATTTTTCAAATATCATATTAAAATAAAAATACGATACTATTTTGTGTTTTTTTTAGATTAAAAATGACTACAAAACATTAATGATCCCATATTTTTTTAATTTTCATTTTCCTTGTAGTAAAATAATGTAAAAGAGTCAAAATTAATTATATTAGGTCTAAATTAAATATTTTGCGCTAAAATATGAAAAATCTTGGGGAGGGTCAAAAATCACATGTCTACACCGACTACAAGTTGTGATGTGAGACGGAGGCCTAAGGGGAGAATGCCCTGGAATTTTGGACTCATTCACAGAACAGTCGCCTAGATGGCAAGGGAAGTTCTAAAGTATTCGGAAGGTATAAGTTACGAAAATGATAAGTGCATCATTCAACATTCAAGGACGAATGTTCCAAAAGGGGGAATAATGTTACGCCCCGCAATATTACGTCAATATCATGTTCCGCAATATTACATTATGGTGATGTCACGCTTCTAGTATTAAGGTACGATGATGTTGCACCCTGAAGTATTGTACGTAGAATTTGTCGTAAGGTAATTAACATCAGTCCAAGTAAAAGATTATTTGGAGGTTATAAGGATTATGCTATTTCACAAAGTGATTAGTAAATTTGTGAAGGTGAGAGGGGAAGCAAGTTGAAGAAAATGAATTTCGTTGAAAGTGACCAATTTGGGATAAAATACGGGTCGAGCGATAATACTCGATAATTATAAACTAGTACCTTGCGAGATACCATATGACCACAGTAGTGTAATATATAAAGTATATATGAAGTAATTTGAAAATAAAGAGAATTTTAAGTACTTTGTGATAATTCTTAAATTATGCGAGTAATAGATTAATTACCGGGTAACGAAATATTACCCGGTTAACTAATAAGTGGATAAATTTAAAAAAAATCACCTCCCAATGAGGTACGTGGAAGCCCCTCCTTTTATCTAGGTGACTCATTAATCAACTTTAATAGGTGTCACAAGCACAATTTGAAAGTCTTATGAAGACTTTATAGTGAACCTTATCACATCAAAATGTGATAACAAACATTTCACTTAAAAGATTGAATGCTTTTTTTTTTGAATTTTCTAGACTGAATGCTCTATAACTGATTCTAAACTCAAGCTTAATGAGNATTAACTAATAAGTGGATAAATTTAACAAAAATCACCTCCCAATGAGGTACGTGGAAGCCCCTCCTTTTATCTAGGTGACTCATTAATCAACTTTAATAGGTGTCACAAGAACAATTTGAAAGTCTTATGAAGACTTTATAGTGAACCTTATCACATCAAAATGTGATAACAAACATTTCACTTAAAAGATTAAGAAAACCATTCTGTCAACTATCGTTTCAAACCAAGAAACATTTCAATTTCGTCCAAGTTCCTTAGCTTAATCAAAATTCTACCGTGGTTTTTCCAAAAAACTTGGAACAGAGTTGTTTTCGTCCAAATTATTTAGTTAAGGTTCGATTGGAAATTCAAAGAACAACAACAATTTGGTTCAAATAAATTCCAGGAACAGGTATGTTAAGGCTAAGCTCTTCTTTCATTTGGTATGATCTCGTCATTATATTCATATCCCAGAATTTACGCATATTTTGCTAGTTTCGCAAATTGCGTATATTTTCCTAGTATTGTAAGTTATAATATTCTCCTTATCGGGACTTCATATTAATTTGAGTATTTCATTCTTCAAGTCAAGAGAGCAGAGATTTAAATATATAGTATTAAAAGTATTTTCATTACCATCGAGCTATAATCGATGGGAAGGCCTCTATTGGGTAACCTCTGATCAGATGGTAAGTTATATGATGATCCTACTGTGGCCGAGCGCATATGAGCGAGCCCAGTTGGTCGAGATACAAAGCCTAGTATGGCTGAGCGCTTATGAGCGAGCCTACTGCAGCAGAGAAGATATATATGTATACCGAGCCTTATACCGGACAACTATTTTACTTACTATATTGAGAGAGTTGAGTCAGTATCATCAGGTAAGTATATATTCAGATTATCTTTGACTTCCAGCTACTTGCAGTTATTATATTATGAGTTCAGTTTCAACTTTCAGTATATTGCCTTACATACTCAGTACATCATTTCGTACTGACGTACCTTTTCTGGGGGCGCTGCATTTCATGCGTGCAGGTCAGATAGACAGACGGGTAGGCCTCCTCAATAAGCATTGCCCGAGTTCATCTTGATCGGTAAGCTCCAAGCCTTTCGGAGTTCCCGAGTCTAGAGCCTTATGTACATCTTGTATATATATATGTTATGAGTAGGTTGTGTAGCTGATCCGATCACAGTATATCCATCAGTAGAGGCTTGTAGACATATCCTATCAATTAGTGCAATATGTTGGGCTTGCAGGTCTTGTATGTATATTTGGTTGGTTTGTCAGCAGTAATAGTTATGATGGCCTTGTCGGCCCAGTTATATATTGACATTTAGTCAATATTCGCAGTTATCTTGCAATGTGGCCCATAGCCAAAATATGACATCATATGTTCAGAGTCCCTAAGTTGCAAGTTAGTACACAAGGATAGGTGAGGCACGGGGTGCTAGTCTCGCCCCTAGGTTTGGGGTATGACAGATTGTAATTATTGGTGTTGAGTTGTGTTCCTTTCCGTGTTTACCTTGCTTCTGTATAGTTGTTGATGTCCTGTAAATCCTGTGTTACTTTACTGCTGTACTTATTTATCCTGTTCTGTTCTATATTGTTGATCTTTATATTTTATTTACTCTCAGTAGAGCCTTGACCTTTCTCGTCACTACCCGACCGAGGTTAGGCTTGGCACTTATTGAGTACTGCTGTGGTGTACTCATGCCCCTTCTGCACATGTTTTTCATGTGCAGATCCAGGTACTGCGACCCAGTCCTATCACCCTTGAAGCGAGGCGACTGCTCCAGCGACTTTGAGGTATATCTGCCGCGTCCGCAGACCGAGGAGTCCCTCTCTATTCTAGCTTTTAAACATTTGCCCTTATGTATTTCTTTCCCTTGTTAGATATTCTAGAGTTAGACTGTGTAATGATCTTTAGCTTGTGATTCATAGGTTTCCGGGTCTTGGAAGCATGTATTGGTTTTAGAGTTAACTATTGTGTATGTCGAGCAGCACTTTTAAATACTGTTTTATCGTTCTTCATCATGTTTTAAATTGATTTTATTCCGCACTTGGTTTATCTTCTACAATCTAGGCTTACCTAGTCGTAGGGACTAGGTGCCATCACGATTGTTCACGGAGGGCGAACCGGGGTCATGACAAGTTGGTATCAAAGCTCTAGGTTCATAGGAGTCATGGATCACAAGACGGTTTATTAGAGTCTCGCTGATCGATACAGAGACGTGTGTACTTATCTACGAGAGGCTATATAACTGTTAGAAAAATTTCACTTCATTATTTTCCCTATCATGCAATATTATTAACATCACAATTCTAAACTTCTGTCTTCTATTCTCACCGATGGTGAGGACACGCGCTACCCGAGATGATGAAGCACCTGCGCCCCCTACTGCAGCCATTAGAGGCCATGGCTGGGGTAGAGGCCGAGGATGCACATGTGGTGCAGCTAGAGCACCTGCGCGAGCTGCCGCCGAGGTACCACTATCAGTTCCAGTTGAAGTACAGGCACCTGACACGCCCACTGCTACCACTACTCCAGCTCTTCAGGAGACTTTGCACAGTTCATGAGCATGTATACCACTCTGGCTCAGGCAGGGTTGCTTTGCCTTGCTGCAGCTATATCTCAGGCGGGGGGAGGAACACAGATTCCCGCCGCCCGCACTCATGAGCAGCGATTGCATGTTCACCAGGTCACTGAGATTATTCCTGTACCGCCTGCAGTGCTAGTTTAGCCCTAGGATAGGGCAGCGACTTCCGAGGAGGAGCAACTAAGGCTTAAGAGGTTCAAGAGGTACAAGCCTCCTGTATTTAGCGGTCTAGCATCGGAGGATGCTCTAGGATTTCTAGATGAGAGTTACCGCATTCTCCGTACCATGGGTATATCAGGATCGAGTGGGGTTTCCTTCACTACCTTCCAGCTTCGAGGAGCCGCCTATGAGTGGTGGTGCACCTATGAGTTAGACAGTCCGGATGAGGCTGCTTCACTGACTTGGACTTAGCTTTAAGATCTATTCCTGAGAGAGTATGTTCCTCAGAACCTTAGGGACGCATGGCGCACCAAGTTTGAGCATTTGCACCAGGGTGCTATAACTGTCTCAGAGTATACTGTTCGTTACACCAGTTTGGCTAGGCATGCACCAACCTTGGTTTTAACTGTTCGCGAGAGATTTCGCCAGTTTATTGAGGGCCTTATTTGTAGCATCAGGTCTAGCATGGCTCGTGAGTTGGAGATGGATATTTCTTATTAGCAGGTGGTGAGCATTGCTAGGAGGATTGAGGGTATGCATGCTAGGGAGAGAGAAGAGAGAGATGCCAAGAGGTCTCGAGAGTCGTGCCATTTCTTTGGTGCCCATGCCCAATCAGCACGTTGTCATGGTAGGGGTTATATGAGTTGCATTGTTCATTCATCTCTTCCAGTAGCCAGTGATATTCCAGCTCCTCCCAAACCTCAGGAGCCTTATTAGGCACCTTCGGTATTTAGCGCGCCTCCTGCGCGGGGTGCTTTCAGAGGTCAGACCAGCAGACCTGGCCCAAGCCATTCACAGCCACCACGTACTCCTAGAGCTTATTTTGAGTGTGGTGACACCCATCATATGGTAAGGGATTGCCCCAGACTTGGAAGGGGTGCACCTCCACAGGCATGTCAGCCACAGCGTGCCCCGCAGAGTTCTCAGGCTATGGTTACAGCTCCAGTTGCTACCCCACCTACTCAGCCAGCTAGAGGTGGAGGTAGGAGAGGTAGAGGTCGCCCTAGATGCATCGGTTCTATTCGATCCAGGATCCACTTACTCTTATGTGTCTTCTTATTTTGCTTCGCATTTGGGTGTATCTCGGGATTCTTTGAGTTCCCCTATTTATGTTTCTACTCCTGTGGGAGATTCTCTTGTTGTGGACCGCATTTATCGGTTATGTTTGGGTTCTCTTAGTGATTTTGAGACCAGAGCTCTTGGGCATGGAGTGGTTGTCGCCCCATTATGCTATTCTTGATTATCACGCCAAAACTATGACACTGGCTATGCCAGGTGTATCGCGTGTTGAGTGGAGGGGTACTTTAGATCACACTCCCAGTAGAGTTATTTCTTTTCTTAAAGCTCAGCGTATGGTTGAGAAGGGGTGTACCGCTTATTTAGCTTATGTGAGATATGTCAGTATTGATACCCCTTCAGTTGATTCAGTCCTAGTAGTACGGGATTTTCCCGATGTGTTTCCAACTGATCTTCCAGGCATGCTGCTTGATAGAGATATCGATTTTGGCATTGATCTATTTCCAGGAACTCAGCTCATTTCTATTCCTCCGTATTGTATGGCTCATCTTGAGTTGAAGGAGTTGAAGGATCAGTTACAGAAATTTCTTGATAAGGGTTTTATTTGGCCTAGTGTATCACCTTGGGGTGCTCTTGTCTAGTTTGTGAAGAAAAAGGATGGTTCTATGTGTATGTGTATTGATTATCACTAGTTGAACAAGGTTGCAGTGAAGAACCGTTATCCTTTACCTCGTATTGATGATCTGTTTGACCAACTTCAGGGCGCATGTGAGTTTTCTAAGATTGATATGCGCTCAAGTTACCATCAGTTGAAGATTTGGGAGCCAGATATCCCGAAGACTTTAGGAATCGGTATGGTCATTACGAGTTCCTTGTTATGTCATTTGGGCTGACCAATGCCCCATTAGCCTTTATGAAATTGATGCACAATGTTTCGACTGTATCTTGACTCGTTCATCATTGTCTTTATTGATGACATTCTGGTGTATTCCCGGAGTCGGGAAGATCATGAGAAGCACCTGAGGACTATGCTTCAGACTTTGAGAGAGAAGAAGTTATATGCTAAGTTCTCGAAATGTGAGTTTTGGATGGATTCAGTGGCATTCCTAGGCCACGTGGTATCGAGTGAGGGTATTCAGGTGGATCCGAAGAAGATAGAGGACGTGCAGAGTTGTCCCAGAACATCCTCAACTATAGAGATCTGCAGTTTCCTTGGCTTGGTGGGTTACTACCGTCGTTTTGTGGAGGGGTTTTCATCGATTACAGCCCCAATGACCAGGTTGACCTAGAAGGGTGCTCTGTTCCAGTGGACGGAGGAGTGTGAGGAGAGCTTTCAAAAACTCAAGAAAGCTTCGACTACAACCCTAGTTTTGATATTGCCTATAGGATCGGGGTCTTATACGGTCTATTGTGATACCTCGCGGGTTGGCCTTGGATCAGTGTTGATGCAGGGCGGTAGGGTGATTACCTGCATATCCAAACAGTTGAAGATACATGATAATAACTACCCTGTTCACGACCTTGAGTTAGCTTCCATTGTTCACGCCCTGAAGATTTGGCGCCATTATTTATACGGGGTTCGCTGTGAGATTTATACTGACCATCAGAGCTTGTAGCACATGTTCAAGCAAACAGATCTAAATTTGCGCTAAAGGAGGTGGCTAGAGTTGTTCAATGATTATAATATCACCATTGTGTACCACCCGGGCAAGGCCAATATGGTGGCCGATGCTTTGAGTCGCCAGGCGGAGAGTTTGGGAAGTTTGGCTTATTTACCAGCATCAGAGAGGCCTATGGCGATGGATGTTCAGGCCTTAGCCAGCCAGTTTGTGATATTGGATCTTTTAGAGCCTAGTCGGGTTCTAGCTTGTGTGGTTTTTCGGTCTTCCTTATTTGATCGTATCAGGGAGTGGCAGTATGATGACCCTCATTTGCTTGTCCTCAAGGACAAGGTTCAGCACGGTGATGTTAGAGATGTGACTATTGGTGATGATGGGGTATTGAGGATGCAGGGTCGGATTGTGCACCCAATGTTGATGGGCTTCGAGAGTTGATTCTAGGGGAGGCCCATAGTTCGCGGTATTCCATCCATCCGGGTGCCACGAAGATGTATCAGGATTTGAGACAACACTATTGGTAGAGGTGGATGAAGAAAGATATAGTTAAATTCGTAGTTCGGTGTCTCAACTGTCAGTAGGTGAAGTATGAGCACTAGAGGCCGGGTGGGTTGCTTCAGCATATAGAAATTCCGGAGTGGAAGTGGGAGCGGATCACCATAGACTTTGTTGTTGGGCTCCCACGGAATTTGAGAAAGTTCGATGCTATTTGGGTGATTGTGGACCGGCTGACCAAGTCCGCTCACTTTATTCCTGTGTGTACTACTTGTTCCTTAGAGCGGTTGGCAGAGATCTATATCCGGGAGATTGTTCGTCTGCATGGTATTCCGGTTTCCATCATTTCAGATAGAGGTACTCAGTTCACATCACAGTTTTGGAGAGCAGTTTAGCATGAGTTGGGTACTCGGGTGGAGTTGAGTACAACATTCCACCCGCAGATAGACGGATAGTCCGAGCGCACTATTCAGATTCTTGAGGATATGCTCCATGTGTGTGTGATTGCGTTTGGAGGGCCTTGGGATCAGTTCTTGCCATTGGCAGAGTTTGCTTACAACAACAACTATCAGTCTAGCATTCAGATGGCACCGTATGAGGCTGTATATGGTAGGTGGTGTAGATCCCCAGTGGGTTGGTTTGAGCCGGGTGAGGCCAGATTATTGGGCACATACTTAGTTCAAGATGCTTTGGAGAAGGTTAAGATGATTCAGGATAGACTCCGCACAGCCCAGTCCAAACAGAAGAGTTACGCGGACCAGAAGGTTCGTGATGTTTCCTATATGGTTGGAGAGCGGGTTCTGCTTCGGGTTTCATCTATGTAGGGCGTTATGAGATTTGGGAAGAAAGGGAAGTTGAGTCTGAGGTTTATTGGCCCTTT